AACCCTCGTTGTATCTTAGGGTCTTCGCAAAACATAATGGTGGCCACCGATAACAATAAGCTAGACAAGACATGTCCATTCTGATACCCGTTACTCGAATTTTTCGCTCGAATTTCGTCATTAGCTTCTCCAGTTCAATAGCAGGTCGAGGAGTTATGACCTGGAAGTCCCCGTCTTTAGAACTGCGAGTGTGGGAATTAGGAAATAAGCTTTAACCGTTTGGCCAAGTGATCCGTGCACGACATCGACCTCAGAGTCCGACAATAGTGGAATGGCGAATAAAAGGAGCACCGTACTCCTATGCAGGTGGCAAGGACATCGAACATGGCCTCCTTGCCGGCGATTTAATCCTGTTAGCGTACAATGATGGGAAACAATGGCCGTGGGCAAAGTTTATCCGATTTCGGCGGACAGGGTTAACCACCCCTTCTCTCTGTCTCTCTCGGCCTAACGCCTGGCTCTCTCTCTAATCCGTCATTTACACGGTAATAGTGGAAAAGCCATTAGGACTACTTAGAACGTTCTATTGATCCTGGAAGTGCTGGGAATGCCGCTTTTTAATTTCCATGTATTGTTTCATTACCCGAAACTCGTGTCAACAGACTAGCTTCCAGGAACTGGCCTAATGGCGACGATGTTTAACGGTTAAGTGTAAATCAGAGGATCAGGCTAATTGGATATTGCTATGACGAGTCTGCGTTTGATGACGCTCACGTTCCTTTCTGAAAAATTTACGTTGCATTCGAGGTTAGGGTAGTTATTGTTCTTGGAATTGTACCGATGGCAGGTGTTCAAAGGATGTGTATTCTTAATACAATACTGTAGGATACCATTTTCAAAGAAGTTGGTAGTCGGCTATTTCCAACAAAACACATTGTAAACCGAAAGATATCTTCTAGAAGCAAATGGAAAAGTTATCGTATATAACAAAATTAAATTGCGCGGCTAATTCCTACACTCGCGGTTCTGAGGACGGGGACTGCTAGGTCATAACTCCTCGTCCTGCCTTCGAATTGGAGAAGCTAGTGACGAAATTCGAGTAAAACGTTCGGGCAATGTATATCTGAGCGGACATGTCTCGTTATCAACGGCTACCTTATGTTACGTGATGACCCTAAGGTGCAATGCTGGTTTCGCTGATCTATGTTAACGAAATTCTGACGAGTCGAGAACATGGGACTGTCTAACGCGTAGATCTAGGATCATGACGAGGTTTACTTTGAAATTGCACGGATCACTTGGCCAAACAATTAAAGCTTACTTCCTAATTCCCATACTCGCGGTTCTGAGGACAGGGACTGCCAGGTAATAACTCCTCGTCCTGCCTTAGAACTGGAGAAGCTTATATCGAAATTCGAGCGAAAAATTCGAATAACGAGTATCAGAATAGACGTGTCTTGTCAGCTTATTGTTATCAGTGGCCATCTTTATGTTTCGCGATGACCCTAAGATGCAACGTTGGTTTCTCTGACATTTGCTAACGAAATTCTGACGAATCGAGGACACGGGATCGCGTAACCGCGTAGATCTAGGAGTATAATAATGTAGGATACCAAAAGAAATCGCGAATCGGCTATTGCCAACAAAAACAAATTATAAACCGATCGATATCTTCTAGAAGCAAATGGAAAAGTTATCCTATATAACAAAATTAAGTTGCGTGACTCCCCTACGGGGAGGTGAAGCGTAGGTTAAGGAAAGCATAAAAGCGTGGTCCTTGACAACCAAAACAGAGTTCTTAGAAATCGGTTGTGACCATCACAAGCGTGAGTCGCTTGTTTTTGGAAAAAGAGTTTTAAAAGAGTGCGTCTTTGTGTGTTTTCGTTTCGTTATCTTGGTGTTCTTTTTCTAAGTTAAATCAGTTTACGAGTTTTGAGTTTGTGTTATCGCGTTCTTGTTTTTTCGTGAATTTTCGGTGTCTCAAGATCTGTATTCGCCATCCTACGATACTTTACCCCGGTTTCCTTGGATTGTGTTGCGTTGGTCATGATTTTATGCTGTAGGTAAAGGGAGAGGGGTGCGTGTTTGAGTTATTTCCGGATGGACGCGTGTGTGTGTGGCTCGTTGGGGTTTTTCTGTATTGTTAGTCACACGAATGGAGGTATTGACATCTCTCGTGATTATCGATCATTATTGTTAACACTAGAACTACCAACCCAGTGAAAATGACTGGTTCCAGAATTTTCCTTTTTGCAATCACCGGATACCTACACCGGTTTTAAGAATAAAATCGGTATCAACTCGTATTAAGAAAGAAATGTAATCAATATATTCACTCATATTCATCCGTACTGTTGAAATTACTATAATCTGTGCACGTTATAGTTAGGTACCCACTAAAGATCGGTAGTTCTAGTGTTAATGGGGTGGCTGAGTCTTTTCGCGAATGGAGTATATGAGAAATATTATAAATATTATTGAGGTTAGGTTAGGCTAGTGTTTAGAAATAGAATTTAAATACAAGTTATTTTCTCTAGGTGTCTGTTAAGATATGGAGATTGATTGTTATGTAACTGTTGTTTAATTGTTAATTTATTCTCGTTACAAAGAATATTATTTTTATTTCGTTGTTATTATTGTAGGATTTTTAAGATTAAATGAGCGATATATTTTAGCTTATGAGAGATGATTATAGTGATACGCGGGAATAGTATGCTGATCAGGAATGAACTATAGTGATGGATATAATTTAGGATTATTCGACAATATTCGTTGAAAAAGAAAGAAGATAAATGCATTTCGGGTTGATGTTGATGATTCATGTTGAAATGATTCATACTGATTATGCTACGTGTGTTCCAATAATTATAATAATTAAAGAAGGAAGGAATTTGGAGGACCTAAAATATTTTATCTCGTTGCACACTAAATAGATAAATAAAATAATTAGACGCGTTTCGAGAGTTGCAATTTAAACGTTAAATATCAAGAAATTTATATAGCGTGAATTTTTTCCGATATTCTATACATTTTAATGCGAAATACACTTTTATATTCGGATAATTGGTCATGTACATAATCAAAATTAGCATAATCGATGTTATATTGTATTTATTCATATTATATCATATTTTTTATTCATATTATAACGAATCTTATTTTTATCTTATTATTATTATAATTATTATTATTACAGTAATTAAAGAACTAAGGAACTGCATTAATTACTAAAGATAATTATATACATTTCGGAAATACAATTTAAACATCGCAAAAATATTTGTATAATATCACAATGTTTACACGTTGTATACTCATAATAAAATATTATATAATAATAATTATAATAATTATAATATATGCTTGAAAATTCTTGTCAATATGTAGATATACCTAATAAATAATTTTTGTATTAACTTTTCAAACGATCACGTTTGCTTTGAATATTAGATATTTCTCTATTTTGTATATTTTATATATTTCTCGAGTATTCTCGAGTATTATAATTGGACTAATTATGCAAAAGAGGTGTCGTCCAACATCTAATACGATACGTATGCAGTACTATCTCCGACAAAATTTTTCGGCTGAACTCCATAGTACTTATTCCTTCGTTATTTCCTCTTCAAAAAGAATTTTTTGAATTATTTTACCTTTTTGTTTTTACTTCGTGTTGATCAGATTTAATATCTCGTTTTATGCCTATGTTATAGTACCTTATATTTGAAGAGTTATAGTAATTTAAAATAATTTCGAATTAATTTTTTGACAGGGATAGTATTTATTTGGGAATTCGTGTTAATGGCTTCTTCATACATTTCTCTTCTAACAGGGACAAGGGACAAATTTGTTTCCGCTATTTAAAGCACGATATAGCTGAAACTAATACACATTCGTCATTTTAACGTATTTTAGAGTAACAATACTTCATCATTTTACCCCTTGCATTACTATTTAATTATAAAAAATTATGCATTGAAGTGGTGTATAATTTTAATTGACCATATATCCATATACCTGTTATATACTCATTATATACGTCTGCCATCTACTATAAAATTAGATAAAAATTTGAAAAACTCTGAATTTTCGTGAAATATAATTTTGTTTGCGAGAGAAATATTAAAACTACGAAATTCGAGTCAAAGAATCCTAGATGAGTAGACTCCTCCTTTGAATGCAAAATATATTTCTAATTATATTCCAAATATCGTAAATTTTCTTCAAAAACTAACGAATATTAATAATCAAGAAAAATAGGAATATTTTTCATTTCGATACAATTCCTTTCATTTTCCAACTTCAACTGCGGTAATTTCTAAGAGAGGCAATTCCCTCCAAAATATAATTACGCATGCGGATATTGGAATCGAAAGGAAACGGTTAAAGCAGTAAAATAAAAATTCTGGAAACTCGTCAAGAGTTTAGTTAATTTCCCGTAGAAACGCGCACCCTGCATAAATAAGCAATAAAAGCATTAGAGCGTCGGGAAGAAGAAGAAAAAGACAGGAAAGGGATTAGCGAAGGAATGACCGGTAGGGTATCGATTTCGAAGGTAGTACGATTGGATCGAAGAGCACTGGCAGCGGCTGAAACAGCGGCAACAAAGGGCATTCACCCCCCATCGGTGCGGTGTATTCACGCGTGGCCAGGCAACGTGGTCCCCGCAGAGAGTGGGCCGCTAGAGCGGCGTACGAGGGCGTAGAAATACAGATATCGCGTTTGGATTTGTTTGTATACGCGAGTTCGCGGCTTGGAGTTTAGTCGCGGCTGCGCTCCCCACTCCTCGGTCGGCAGCGATCGGCCACCTTCGAAATCCCTGCCCTCGTCGTAACTCCGCGCTGTTTGCACAGTTTACTGTCAAACATTGGCCGCAAACCGCGCTGGTGGGGGGAAAGGACGTCGCCGGTGGAAGGCGAGCGGCCGCCGCGCCGATTGGCCCGCGCGCTCGCCGTGCGCGCCGTGGAACGCGCGGTGGGCGTGGCTTCGGCGATGGTATATATACCGCGCGTGGCGGGGATGACGGCAAATACGCGACACCGCTCCGTTGGGGCAACATCGAGCGTCGTTTGCGAAACATCCACCGTTCGAGGACGCCGAAGGACTATATAAAAGCTTCTCACGCTACGGTACATCGCGAACAGTGCTGTGCATCAATTTCCCTGTGAACTCTTGCTCTGTGTTCCCACGTCTCACCTGTCTACCGCTGGTGGTAGTCGTGCCACCCAGTTTCGCGATATTCCGAGAAGTGCGACGAATACTCGAACTCGAGACTCGTTGAAAGAATGGTGAATATGGAGGGATCGAGCGAGCAGCAAACGGTGACAGCGTCGCCGCCGCCGAGAGCTGCGCTCAAGAGCAGCTTCAGCATCCGCAGTATCCTACCAGAAGCCTGTGCAGGGACCCCGGCCCCAGCCGTTAGCAGATCCGCGTCCCCTGAGATCAGTCACGTCGACGACAGCGAGGACTCTAGCGATCTAGACGTAACAGGCGACGGAGGCACGGAGACGCCACCCTTGGACTGCTCGCGCAACGCAGCCAACTCTGTAAACGCCAATGAGCAGAAGGATCCCAAGGATCGTCAGCCTGATGACAAGAAAAAGTGCGAAAAGCCACCCTACAGCTACAACGCTCTGATCATGATGGCCATCCGTCAGAGTCCCGAAAAGAGACTGACTCTGAACGGCATCTACGAGTACATAATGCGCCACTTTCCCTATTACGAGAACAACAAGCAAGGCTGGCAAAACTCCATCAGGCACAATCTGTCTCTGAACAAGTGCTTCGTGAAAGTCCCTCGTCACTACGACGACCCGGGCAAAGGGAACTACTGGATGCTGGACCCCAGTTCCGAAGACGTGTTCATCGGTGGGACCACCGGGAAGCTTCGTAGGAGGACCACAGCGGCGTCCAGGTCGCGGCTAGCCGCGTTCAAGAGAAGCGTCGTGCTAGGCGGATTGTATCCCTCGGCGTACGCGCCACCAGGTTGGCCCGCGTCTCTGTACACGCTGCCATACCTGCACAGAGCCGCCGGGTATCCGCCAGCCACCGGTGCCTACACCACTCCTGCAGGCTACCCAGCTAGCTTGCTACCCGGCGCGGCGACCAGCTCCGCCAGCAGCTTACCCTGCAAGCCTCAGCCTCTGCCAGCCACGGCTGCGCCCCCGCAACACGGCCCGTTCTCCATGGAGAGGCTGCTGCAGCCTCCAACGGCCGCTGGCTACCCCAGTGGCATCGCCGCGTCAGGAATCCCGGTGTCGGGCAGTCCCTACGACTTCTACTCCACGTTGAGGTCTCTGGCGGCGCACCAGCAGCATCAGAGTACCGCGGTGTTCGCTCACAACCAGCAACCTGCCAGGTACCACGTGAACCAGCCCTCGCTGCTGGGCCAACCGACGTCGGCCACCGCGTCGCCCGGCAGCAGTCCCGAGCCCATGTCTCCTCATTCGCCACCGGTTACCATCTGCAATTCCGTGGCCGTGCAGCAGCCCAGGTCTCTGGCCCACAGTCCGCCCCAGTTGCTGCTCAAGCCCATCACCGTGCTGACCGGCAGGCAAAGCTGAACAACGAGCTCGTTGGTCTAGGTTCAGCCGCGGTTGCACTGTCGCTCCTGGAGCGGTTAGAGTTCACGAGGCAGCCCAGGACTCCGCTCTATGCAGCTCGCCTCACCTTGTCGCAAGCTCTCCCTCTCGTCCCAGTTAATGCGTACGCGGTGATATTGTATGTACTTTTTTTCTTCCCTATATTTCGCGCGATCCGAGTTGTACATATGGATTAGGTCCGCGGGCCTCGGGCCCGATCGACGATGCACGAGGCCCGCGGAGCGGCGAGCAGTGTCCTGCCGCGATATGTGATCTTTAAATTGTAGAAGAGTAATATAATGTCGTTGTAAATAAGCAAAGATTCGCGTAGATGATCTCTCTGGCCGCCGATCCGTGGCACCACGGGGCTCTAGGTCCATGTTCACACCGTTTTCCACCGTTTTTGAGAGTTTCCAAGCGTTTCGGGCGTTTTCCAGCGTATTCGAACGTTTTCGAGCGTCTTAGAGCGTTTTCCAACGTTTTCGAGAGTTTTCGAGCGCCTTTCGGCGTTTTCGAGAGGTTTTGACAGTCTTTGAGCGTTTTCGAGAGTTTCCGAGCGTTCTTGCGCGTTTTCGAGCGTTTTCTAGCGCGTTTGAGCGTTTTCGAGCGTTTTGGAAACGGTTTGGAACCTCGTGGTCGCCGAGGTGCGTGTCGGCTGTTGTTAAATTATGTACATAGTTGGTAATTGTTACGAGTAAGCTATTGACATGATATGTGTATATATGTATACATTTGAAGACCGTGAACGTGTCGTGAGAGCGACACGTGTGCGATCGTCGAAATAAATGTTCAAAACTTTTTTAAAAATCTTTGTCTGCTGATTTCCGAGCACCCCGAAACCTTCTTATCGTCCTTGCATGTTCGACTTGCCGAGTTATGGTTGCGTTTATGTCGGGTTTCAGTCTTCGTTTCTTTTCGAATTTTTGATTTAGATTTTCCGTTGACGATCGAAGAAATTATTTTCGAGAATTTTCGTTCCTTTTTAATTTCTTTCTTTCTATTTTATATTTTGTTTATCATGCTCGATTTAGATCGAGATGATAAATTGGAAGGGATTTTTAGTTTCACTTTATTTCGGTATTTCCTAGGCGATTCGACGGTAATTTTTTGGTATTTTGAATAAGTTTGCGATGATAAAGCTCGTTTCGAGATTTAAGGAAGGTATCGTTTATGATTAGTATAGTTTCGTACTGTTCGGAGTTTGATTAATTTAGATCGAGACGTTAGCTTTTCCTCGAAATTTCTAATTTTCCGTGATTTTTCATCGATTCCATTTCGCATGTTAACATTTTTCCAAAATTTCAGGAATTTTTCGTTTTAATTTATCTTTTTTCGATCGATTTTTCAAGGATATTTCTTTCAATACTATTCCTTTAAGTAGATTCGATAATAATTTTATTCTCGTATCGCGATTATTATACTAGGTGTGTTCCATTTTGCTCTACATTCTTCGAATAATCGATCTATAGTAATTTCTTTCTTCGTCAGTATTTATTTTGAATAAATCTATTTGGGATATTAAATCTTCCACTAAATTTTCAAGATAAAAAACATCATTCTATTCTAAATTTTAATTATTCATGAGATACTTTCTTTTAAAATATCAAATCTTTCATCTAACTTTCAAATTTTCATTCTCCTTCCTTAAAAATACAGCATCCTATCTCGAATTTTGTGTCAAAGATTTGTTACTCGTAAATTTTCAAAAGGTACATCATTTTATTTCAAACTCTTATAATAGATTCGCTAATAATTCCCGTTCCAAATTTTGACTAACTTCCATGAAAATATTAAATTTCCTTTCGATCTCTGAATTTCGATTAATCTTAAAAAGTATATTATTCTACTTCAAATTCCCTTTGAAACTTTTAATTCTCATTGATCTTCAGAAAATGCATCGTTCCATTTTACATTTCTAAAATCAATTCATTAACAATTCTTCTTTCATATTTTCACAAACTTCGCTCAAAATATCAAATTTACTTTCAATATTTAAATTTTGATTAACTTTAAAAATTGCAACACACCATTCTACATTTAATTTTCAAATAATAGATCGATAATAAATTCCTTTTTCGGCAGTATTTGTTTTTAATAATTATATTTGTGATATTAAATCTTCCACTAAATTTTCAAGCAGATAATCAAATTTCCTTTCAATCTTTTAATTTCAATTATCCTTCAAAAATTGCACAATGCCATTCTACATTTCTAAAATCGATTCATTAACAACTCTCCTTTCATATTTTCGTTAACTTCGTTCAAAATATTAAATTTCGTTTCTAGCTTTTAACCCTTTGCACACGGTGATCCTTTCGTTACAGAAATCTAGTAATTCCAAGATTTTCTGCCATAGGGTCGACGATATTTTCAGAACGGTAACTAAGAAGTGCAAATTAATTGTAAGACGTGGGATTATTTTACCTCGATATTCCACGCGTCGTTGGGCAATTTTAAATTCGAGATATTAATTAACAACGATCTTTAGAATCCGATTAAATGGCGACTGAGGGTCGTACTCTCAGGACTTTGGATTGGAAGATTTTCTTGTTGGAAGGAAACAGCAATGCGAAGCTTTTCTTACACTTTTATAAGCTCGCTGATACTCCTTATGCTAAAATAAAAACAGAAAATCGTGCATTTGCGTGAGATATGAACGAATAGAATTATTTTATTTATATAATTATCATCTCCTATTCGGTATTTAAGTTATAGTATTGAGCAAACGGTGACTGAGTGTCACTTCTCGAGTGTAAAGGGTTAACTCCAATTATCCTTCAGAAATTGCAACATCATTTTACATTTAATCTTGAAATAATAGATCAATAATAAATTCTTTTTTCGTCAGTATTTGTTTTTAATAATTTTATTTGGGATATTAAATCTTGTTTTAAATTTTCAAGCAGATAATCTAATTTCCTTTCAACCTTTTAATTCCAATTATCCTTCAAAAATCGTATCACACCATTCTATATTTTTAAAATTAATTCATTAACAATTCTTCTTTCATATTTTCACAAACTTCGCTCAAAATATCAAATTTCCTTTCAATATTTTAATTTTGATTAATTTCAAAAATTGCAACACACCATTCTACATTTAATTTTCAAATAATAGATCAATATTAAATTCCTTTTTCGGTAGTATTTATTTTGAATAATTCTATTTGGGATATTAAATCTTCCACTAAATTTTCAAGCAGATAATCAAATTTCCTTTCAACCTTTTAATTCCAATTATCCTTCAAAAATCGTATCACACCATTCTACATTTTTAAAATCGATTTATTAACAATTCTTCCCTCATATTTTCATCAACTTCGCTCAAAGTATCAAATTTCCTTTCAATATTTCAATTTTAATTAACTTTAAAAATCGCAACACACCATTTTATATTTCTCCATCAAATAGTCGATTAATAATAAATTCTTCTCTTAGCAATATTTATTTCGAATAATTCTATCTAGGATATTAAATTTTCCATCAAGCTTTCAAAAAGGAAGACATCATTCCATTCTAAATTTTAATAATCAACCCATAATTCAACCCATCAACCCATCTTTCCGATTTTGTCTAGTTTCACCTAAAATATCAACTCTTCTCCCATATAACTCCAACTTATAACCCTAATCGATCTTCAAAAAGCACATCATCCTATTTCACATTTCAAGAATCACTTCGCCAATAATTCTCTCTTCGTACTTCATGCAACTTCGCATAAATTACGGAACTGTCTAATCTTCCAATCCAAGCATGCAACTCCATCATCCTCCATATTTCCTCGACTAACCGCGATCTAAAATACCAACCCTGCTCTGCCACCGTTCTCAATTCCATTAACCACATGGACTTGCGATTATCCAACATTACGATCCTTCGATCAACCGTGTATCGAGCAAACTCTGTGCCAAAGGCTCGGAAGACACGGCAAACCTCAGGGAACACGCTCTATCCGCTGGGATCGTAAAAGTAACAGGCAGAACCCAACGGCTGTCAAAACATGGCGCGGAATAAAAGTTTCGCCTGGCCAAAGTCAATGGATAATGGGCCAGCGAAGCGAGGTCGAAGCTTCGAAACACAAAATTGCTTTACTGCTTCCATATAACCATAAACCATACTCCAGCGGCCTTCGAGTATCCTCGGCCTTTGCTTTTCACCATGTCACCAGTTCGAAGATTGCAAGTGCCACAGTTCTCGTCCTTTTCCTTTCTTCCTCGCTGTTGGCTGAAAACAGGAACTCTTTGGTCGACGACGTGGCCCCCATCGAATTTCCTCCTAACACCAAGGAAAAATTGCCGATCGGTTAACCCGTTAGTCCCATTAATGAATACACAGTGACCGGCAAGAGCGTTCGAACGCTATACGCGTTTCAAGGGAGCACTCAGAGCGAAAAATTTCGATTTCGATAGAAGCACGAGAGCGCATGAAGAATAAAGAGTTACGCACGGGCGAATTCTTTCGATTCGCGGATGTCGCGCCGCGTGGGTGAAATCGGTACTAGACTGCGGAGGTTCGGGCACGCGAAATACATCGATACGCGGAAACAACGCGTGCGACGTGCGAAAATATATTATATAGACGCGCGCAGTAGCGTAACAACGCACGCGGAAAAACGCGGGCGATAAATTTATCGAGAACGGGGTATAGCAATAGCTGGATCGCTGGATCGCGGCGAATTTCCTTTTCGCGCACTTCGCACCGCGCAGATACTCCGTCGCTCGCCAAACTTTTATCCCCCATTCCATCCACCCGATCCCGAAGCAGCGTACGTCCACGTTTCCCGGTTTTGGGCGCGATATTAATTCATCCTCCGAAGCGCGAATTTTCGAGGCGGAAATCTTCGTGGCAAGCGCTACGTCGATGCCGCGAATACTTCGCGATCCCGAATCGCGCTAAATCGCCACTCGACGAGGGATTTGTCCAGGAGTACCGCAGCTGTATTCCTCGTCATTTCCCAGAGAATCACTCGTTATCGACGTATGCACGCGTGCACGCGCGCTTCCGTGCGTTATTCAGCACTGCCGATCTCATCGTCGGTAAACGCGTTTAAATTTCGATTTTATTTGCCACAGATTACTCCGGTAATTCGGTGACCGATATCGGATTCTTAAAATCCGCGTGATGAAAATAAACGGAACGCGCAATTTGCTTTGAGCCTGCGCTTAGAAAGATATTCGCGGAACACGCGGGATACGCAAAATACGCGAAACGAACGACGTGTTTCGAGAATCTCTGATCATAAATCGTGTTTCTATCCAGGTCCTATTGTTTTACCTATTTTCGATAAAAATATGCGTTTGCGTGAACATCCGCGGTCTAATCGTTGCTCGAACTTACAGTCCGGTCTCTGTCTGTATTTAAATGTATCTGTATAAAGGCGCGAAATGGAACAG